TTGAGCCGTCGGGCTCAGCCTGGCCAGCTGAGACCTGGTGATTCTCCACAGTGACATCCCAAGTTACACCAGCCCCAGACGGAGACTATTTCACAACGTTTTTTACTCCCGATAGGCATCCCCCTGGACAGGGTAACGCCTATCCCACTTACCATCAATGAATCAACAAATAGTGAGTAATTTCTCCCATTTTCCTCTTTTTATTTCACTTGTTGGTCACCACAATCCAACTGGGTTTAATACATCTGTGTTGTTATTACCATTTTTATTACCATACACTTATGTTTATATCTATATCCATACCTATACAATACACTTAAGGCTGAGAGAGCTAGTGACACACAAGGGATGTGTGAAACTAGAGATGTGGAAAACTGCTGGGAGCTTCTAAACAGTATGGAGTACTACTAAGACTATTTCTGTTGAGAAATGCTGTAAAGGCCTAGAATTGGGACACTTAGTCTGTGTGAGACAACCCTGAGTCAGTGAGACTATTTGGCGTTAATTTGCCGAAAGCCAAGCAGACTTTATGTTTTGTTATGCCGAAGAGAAGCATATTATATGGAGTACATATATGGTTGTGTGAAATAAAAAAACTGTCCTTTTATGTCAATCGGCTTTGAGAGTGGTCACTAAGTGCTCACCATATGTTCTAAATTCCCCAAAATATCACAGTATACATGGACAAATTTACTGTAAGCAGTGCAAGCATACGATGGGCCTGTGGAATCTACGGTGGGAGTTGTCTACAGCAGCTACTGCATTGCTTAGGGGAACCAATTCTGACTCATGTTTTCTAAAATGGAAATGAGTTTTAGGGGAACCCATCAGAGTGGTAAATTATCTCATATGTGGACAGAAAAGGAAATGTCATACTTATGTGGGTCAAAGATGTTGGACAGATATACTGTATTTTAATACAGTGTCAAGCCAGAACTTTACTTAGCAACAGTACAGACTAACCTAAATACAATTTCCTGCAGTCAGTTCTTAGGAATGCTTTCTAGGTTGGCAGAACATATATGTCTCCTAGATATGGTGCCCATGCATGTAGTGCTTCTGAGGTATAAGCGTTAGCTAAAGGAAATACTTTTGTTTTAAAGACACAAAGCAGTTTCACATATTTTATCTAATGTGTATATGATCTAATGTTTTATCCAGTGTCTAATAGTCATATCCACAACTGCATTGCACCTTTAAAAAACAGCCACACCCTCAAAAGGACATCCCATAATGTTGCACAATCAATTACCTGGTGATTCCAGTTGCAATACTGTATTATGGGACAGAGTAGAGACAAAAACTACTGTGGGAATTTGGTCATATTATAAAAAGGCAGCTGATAAAGTTATCTTTGTTCATATTGGTAATTTAATTATCGGTATATTGAACTCAATATATTGAACGAGTATAAAGTAGAACTGTGTTCAGGCGATGAATATATTCTTAACAAACAGTAAATAAGCCTTAACTACCTAGCTTTTTGGATTAACTGGGTGTGTATACATGTCCTGTTACATCCGCCCACACGGGCGCGGCGTGCGCGAGCGGGAAATGCCCGTTATTTGAAAACAGGCAGCGATGCCCGTTAATATACAAGCGATCCGCCGGCTATAGAGCCGACGGATCGCTTGTATGAGGTCCCATAATGTGCGCTCCCCCCCTCCCGCTGTCAAGCTGGTCCCGGGCTCCGGTGTGAGCCCGGCACCAGCATACTGCCTCTGTCACAGGGGATCAGAGGGAGGTCGGTTCACAATCTCCCTCTGGTCCCCTCTCCGCTGTCAGAATGCGGAAGTGGTGTATATTACATCACTTCCACATTCTCGTGTCACTCTCCAGCTTCAGATGCTGGAGAGAAGCTGGAAGAGTGAGTGCGCGCAATTTTTAAGCTTGACATGGATGGTGTCTATTTACCCGACGTGACCCCGTCTTTTATATGTTACCATGGAAAACTGCTGGGAGCTTCTAAACAGTATGGAGTACTACTAAGACTATTTCTGTTGAGAAATGCTGTAAAGGCCTAGAATTGGGACACTTAGTCTGTGTGAGACAACCCTGAGTCAGTGAGACTATTTGGCGTTAATTTGCCGAAAGCCAAGCAGACTTTATGTTTTGTTATGCCGAAGAGAAGCATATTATATGGAGTACATATATGGTTGTGTGAAATAAAAAAACTGTCCTTTTATGTCAATCGGCTTTGAGAGTGGTCACTAAGTGCTCACCATATGTTCTAAATTCCCCAAAATATCACAGTATACATGGACAAATTTACTGTAAGCAGTGCAAGCATACGATGGGCCTGTGGAATCTACGGTGGGAGTTGTCTACAGCAGCTACTGCATTGCTTAGGGGAACCAATTCTGACTCATGTTTTCTAAAATGGAAATGAGTTTTAGGGGAACCCATCAGAGTGGTAAATTATCTCATATGTGGACAGAAAAGGAAATGTCATACTTATGTGGGTCAAAGATGTTGGACAGATATACTGTATTTTAATACAGTGTCAAGCCAGAACTTTACTTAGCAACAGTACAGACTAACCTAAATACAATTTCCTGCAGTCAGTTCTTAGGAATGCTTTCTAGGTTGGCAGAACATATATGTCTCCTAGATATGGTGCCCATGCATGTAGTGCTTCTGAGGTATAAGCGTTAGCTAAAGGAAATACTTTTGTTTTAAAGACACAAAGCAGTTTCACATATTTTATCTAATGTGTATATGATCTAATGTTTTATCCAGTGTCTAATAGTCATATCCACAACTGCATTGCACCTTTAAAAAACAGCCACACCCTCAAAAGGACATCCCATAATGTTGCACAATCAATTACCTGGTGATTCCAGTTGCAATACTGTATTATGGGACAGAGTAGAGACAAAAACTACTGTGGGAATTTGGTCATATTATAAAAAGGCAGCTGATAAAGTTATCTTTGTTCATATTGGTAATTTAATTATCGGTATATTGAACTCAATATATTGAACGAGTATAAAGTAGAACTGTGTTCAGGCGATGAATATATTCTTAACAAACAGTAAATAAGCCTTAACTACCTAGCTTTTTGGATTAACTGGGTGTGTATACATGTCCTGTTACATCCGCCCACACGGGCGCGGCGTGCGCGAGCGGGAAATGCCCGTTATTTGAAAACAGGCAGCGATGCCCGTTAATATACAAGCGATCCGCCGGCTATAGAGCCGACGGATCGCTTGTATGAGGTCCCATAATGTGCGCTCCCCCCCTCCCGCTGTCAAGCTGGTCCCGGGCTCCGGTGTGAGCCCGGCACCAGCATACTGCCTCTGTCACAGGGGATCAGAGGGAGGTCGGTTCACAATCTCCCTCTGGTCCCCTCTCCGCTGTCAGAATGCGGAAGTGGTGTATATTACATCACTTCCACATTCTCGTGTCACTCTCCAGCTTCAGATGCTGGAGAGAAGCTGGAAGAGTGAGTGCGCGCAATTTTTAAGCTTGACATGGATGGTGTCTATTTACCCGACGTGACCCCGTCTTTTATATGTTACCAAAAAAATGGGTAATATTAGTTGTTTTATAACAAAATATAAAAAAATAATAATTTAGTACTTTCTCCTGAATATAGTAAAAAATAAAACCCCCAGTGGTGATTAAATACCACCATAAGAAAGCTCTATCTGTCCCTAAAAAATGGTATAAAATTCATTTCAGTACAGCGTTGCATGACGGAATAAATGTCAGTCAAAGTACCGCAGCGATGAACACTGAAAAATGGCCTGGCCAGGAAGGGGGTCTAAACACCTGGTCTTCAAGCGGTTAATGTGCATCTGTGCTCAGACTATGGAATGTTTTAATACATTCTTAACAAGCAGTAAAATCTTTAAAGCAAGCCCTCCATAGCCACTTTAGTAAAAAAATCAGTTTCTAACAATCATTTTCTAGCAGCTTACAAGCACCTGGTGTTTGTTTATATTAGTAGGCTGTTAGTTTTCAAAATTCCAACTGCAACAGAACATAGGAAGAGTGGAGCTGTGATTTTAATACCTCTGTTGTGAACTATGAAAATGAATTTCTCTACAATGCCTATAGCTACAGAGGCAAATAGGGGTTTATATTAAAGTGTTTTTACTGTTTGATATGTAAATACTAATATACATATTCTTGACACAGGTTCACTTTACAACAAACCCTCACTGGCCCCTGTAGCTGCAGTCACTGTCTAACAACACATCCTCAAAGAAGCACCACTACCTGGCACAAATGTGTGGATGGGAAAAACAGGTAAATGACAAAATGGTGAATCAATGGTGAATAAACGGTGAAATTGAAATGGTGGTGTCTGGCACTCACATGTGATGGAATGGAAGTGGGCTCAGTGGTGGGAATCTCCTGGTGTTGTTGTTGTGGGATCTAGTAGTGATAATGGAGGGATGTCCAATGGGCAGATTCACCATTTTGTCATTTACCTGTTTGTCCCATCCACACATTTCTGACAGGTAGTGGCACTCATTCTTGCTTCCTTTTCGTCCTTGTTCACCAATACACAATTTAGACACCTCAGTCTAATACTGCTAGGAGCTGCATACTGGCCTTGACACACCACCCCCACCAGGAGTGTGCTAACTAAATTGGACTTCATTTTTTGTAAGCTTTTTTAATTTTACTTTCACTTTTTGTTGGCTGCTAAGTTCCCCCCTACCAGCAGTGAGTTGGCAGCCTACCGGCTTTCTCATTTCTAATGTAAACACAGAGCAAGTGCACAGGAAAAGGGAAAAGAGCAGAGTAGCGAGACCCATTTAGAAAGACTTCAGTGCTTCTATTGTGAGCTGTGACGATGAAGAGCACCACAAAGGCTGTAACTACAGATGTCAGTGAAGGCGTATTTTAAAGATTATGTATTGCTTGTTTAGAATATATAAACATTTAAGTGTCTATAGTCTGGCTACAATTCTACCTAAAAGTAACATTTTTAGGTTTGGTTTAGAAATACTTATTAAAGACTTATGTATGTAAATCCTCTTACACAGCTTTTCACAGATGACTACTGCTTCAATAAAAGAAGACACCAATGATAACATCACCATATTCACCCGAATACTAGATGGTCTGCTAGATGGATATGACAACAGATTGCGACCTGGACTTGGAGGTAACAAATTTTTATTTATTATTTGCTGTTAATGTTCTCATCACGTATTCAGAGTCATGAAATCTCATAACATCTTACAAGATATTTCACAAGAGGATGATTAACTTCTAGGTTTGCTTTTACCTGACAAGCTAGTGTATACAGTATTTTAAAGAGCTTGTATTACTTCTTATCTTCTAAAATCTGTTTTCTCTACTAATAAAGAGAAGTAGTGTATCTTGATCTATAAATTGAATGAATCGCTGCACAAAATTAAATTTTTCACAAATTTTCCACTACACTGACTATGTGCAAGCAGATTTGTTTCATCTGCTGACAACCACACAATTTATGAATCCAGGCAGTCAGGACTCAATGAATTGAATTTTTTTCCTCAGAGCTGTAGACACACTTTAAAGCAAACTGTGCTTTGTTTCCCTTAATCTTCCACCCCTCCACAGGTTTCCTTTAATTCCCCACCCTTCTCCAGCATATATTTTCCTTTGCTTCCTCATCACCACATTCAGCAGCAGAGGCCAAAGAAAATACCTGGTTCTGGCAGATATTGGGAAGTTTGTGGCTGACTCCATGAGGCCGGGCTGGCCAATTAGCATTGTGACACACAGGGTACACAAGTTGAATTTAAAAGATTCTGAAAGAGATTTACCAATTCACTTGATTCTCAAGATTTCTAGTTATCTAAACATATTTCTTTATAGAAGATAACAAAGAAAGGGTGCTGTGTATAAAGGAATAAGGTGTGATGTGCGTGTTTACTAATATTTAGTGTATTTGTTCATAATGGCTATGGCTAAGAGTTCAACAAATCCTTTTTGGAATTCATGGAACCCAAACTTAGTAGCAAATCCCACTGAAGTCTAAAGGGGGCAAATTTTGTTAGCAAGTCCTGGACATATTTAAGACTAATAGGCAAACTACAGTCAATACAGGCATGGGGAGGCAGGTACTGCCAAGGCAGATGTACTAAAGCAAAAAAAAAAAAATAATGTACAAAAATACTGTACAAATAAAAGAGGTATTTTCTTGTGGCTCAAAAGCAACATTAAAAATGCACAAATCCTTTAAATAACATGGCTGGAAGATGGTTTTAAGCTGTACATGGTGTTATGGAACAGTACGATTTTCAGACATTCTCAGTGACAGCATACAGTAGCAGCACATACATTTTTCTTTTACAATTATCTTGGCTTACACAGTGAAGCAGCACCCTAATCTGATTAGTTTCAGTTAAAAAAAGGCTTTTATCATCTAGTTTTGACATCAAGCATTCATTTTAATCGTGCTTTTTCATCAAGCATTAATTGGTCATTAGCTTGCTAAAGCATGTTCTCAACGATGCAAAAATGTACTGCCACTGGCCAATTTCTATGAAACTACCCAAGGAAATTAGAGACTGTAGGTGATACAGCAGTGATAAATTGCCCAAGAATAATGCAAAAATGATAAGCGCACTACTACTAACGTGGTGGAAGGAATTGATTACTTTGGTTTAGATTGTATATCAAGCAGTGGTGAAGGGTGTGCGGTCTCCTTTAACAGGGAGAGGAACCCTGTATCTAGAATAAACACAAACCAAAAAGCAAATTAGGAGCGTTACTCCCCGAGGAACTGATAGTTAATGATGGGAGTGATGTGTATTGGAAATGTTAGTGAAAACAGGTAAAAGGACTCACTGTTAGATGGGGGCAGTGAAGATTGTCTTGCTGTAGAAACGGGTTGTATTCACATGAATGGAGGCATTGTAGGTCATTCTTGTGGGTACTGGGAGGCTTTCCACATATGGAAAAATAATCCATTTGCCAAGCAGCTAGTGTTCTATGGGAGATATATTGATGATATAGTGATCATCTGGGATGGCCCTCCTGATAGTGTGTCCAACTTTGTTTTTCATTGTAACAACAACAACTTTGGACTCTCCTTCACCCATGAGGTTAACAGTAACACATTGGTTTTCCAGGACCTAGAACTTTCCACCACAAACAATCACATCATTACCAAAAATTACATCAAACCCACGGGGGGAAACTCTTATCTCCATTAAAATAGCTGCCACCATACCAGATGGAAAAACACCTTATTACAGAGGCCTACTCCACTTATCTAGAACCTGATCGACCCACAGCCCATAACAAAAATGAATCTCCAAATAGAGAAAACAAAGTTACATTTATCACAGCATTCAATAATAGCTATAAAGCTATCCAGAGGGTGATACAGAAGAATTGGCATATTCTATTAAAAGACCCAAGGTTAAGTCCTACATTACCATCTAAACCGTCCATCAATTTCAGGAAAACTAAGAATATTAAAAACATGATAGCTCCCAGTAAGCTACTCCAATCTTCAGAGATTCATCCCAAATGTTTCCTCTTTGACAACAGAGTTGGGATCTTTCAGTGTAGAAAACCAAAGGGGTTGATTTACTAACCTTATAAACACACCACAAACATGTATACACCTCTGTAGTGTGTTCCCTCCCAGCATGATCTATGGGTGGAATCTAAACACCTTTGTAGTGTGTACACACCCAGCAGGTGTGTTGTGCAAAGCCCTGCATGAATTGCAAGGTGATGTTGTGTAAATTAGCTCTACATTGTGTTGCTTGCGTTGATGAATGCAGGAATGTAAATGCATGAGCTAACCATTTTTGTCTAAACTGTGAAGCAGCATTATATATGCATCATGTGCATGATTTTTCCATATATGGCATTAGTGGAAATATGCTTTTAGAGACTTTTTGGTTGATAAATATGTTTTGTTGTGTAAAAATCACACGCACCTAGTGCGTGCGTGTGTTTAGGTTAGTAAATCACCCCCAAAATGTCTTACATGTCAATTTATCCAACATGGCCAGACCATGTTCAAAGATCACCTTACCAACTCCTATAATATAAGACAATTTATTACGTGTGCCCACGACCACTTTGTATATGGGCTCACATGCCCTTGCGGCATGATCCATGTTGGCATCACCATACGCCCCTTACACACAAGAATTGGTGAACACAGGCGAATAATTAAGAAAGGTGACTTTGAACATAGTGTCCCCAGGCATTTTACTTTAAAACATCATAAGAGGACTCAGGACCTACGGGTCTTCGCCATTGAACACATACCCACACATTTAAATACATCTGAACGTTTTTGACTTTTATGTAGAAGAGAGACCTTTCGGATATACAAACTTAACAGTTTGACACCAATAGGTCTCAATGAGGAGATTGAAATACAGACGATTTTATAACTTTAATGATGAAGGTTCAAAGTTAAGTTTAAAAAAAAAATATTTAAGAACAATTTTTATATATAAGAAATATAAAACATTTTACTCTGTTATATTATTTATTGATTAAAATATTTGTTTAAACTTACACTATTGAATAATCATTTTTTTTTTGTATTAACACTCCAAATAATTCTGTCCTATTATTGCATGGAGGATTCTATCATCCCTGCAATACATTAGGACACAGTTATGCCAATTGTTGTTTTTATGTTTGGATACAAGATTAATCTAATTGCTATCCCTCAGATACTATCCATGTTAATTTCTATTACCCACAGTCAAGTTCTTATCACTTTTCCATTTTATAGTCTGGTCTATTGCCCCAAATCTCTGCATTCCAGATGAGGTAACCTGCTAGTTTTCCTAAATCAAGAAATACACCTAATCGTCTAATCTGTGCGTTCCCACCAATCATATAGCCATATAACGGGTTACTCCACCCAGCTGTCAGATTTAAAAGTCCTCTCCATTCCCGCTAATTTTTTCTGTACATTCTACCAGTGCTTGAAAAAGAGGCATAGCCTGGAAACACATAGCCACCCAGGGAACACTCACACTGCCAGCACCAAGGACAATTCAACACCCGGCATTGACTCCCTGCAGCACTGCTTTTTTTGTTTCCCATTGATCACACAGTACAGCGGTTTGAAGTGCCCACCCGCACGAACACTTCCCACACAGCCGCAACGCTTCAGCCTGGCCAGCTGAGCTTGTGCAACTTACATCTGCTACCTCTGGGAAACCTCCCACTCGGGATCGTGAGCTCCTATTCTACACATCCTGTCATCCATGAAATCCTCATTTACATCCCTCGTTCCAGTACTATTTCACAAGAATGACCTACAATGCCTCCATTGATGTGAATACAACCCACTTCTACAACGAGACGATCTTCACTGCCCCCATCTAAGTCCTTTTACCTGTTTTCACTAACATTTCCAATACACATCACTCCCATCATTAACTATCAGTTCCTCGGGGAGTAGTGCTCCTAATTTGCTTTTTGGTTTGTGAAAAATTGGCCAGCAGCTGGACATTTTTAATGAGAAAGAATTGGCCAATGCACTAGAGACAGAGTACAGGCAAGGGGTTTAGTACAAGAATTAAAAGACTTCAGAGGATACAGGAGTATAAACTTTTCCTATAGCTGGGAAGTTTTAATCAGGAATAATATGCCTAACTTTTATTATATATGTTGGGATAGGGGTTTGTGGTAGGGATGCACCGATACCATTTTTTTCTTACTGAGTACGAATATTGATACTTTTCCTCAAGTACTCGTTGATACCAATTACTGATACTTTTGGTCCCAGCTGCAACTGCTGCAACCCTGGTAGTTCTGCCACTGATTCCAAGCTGTATAGGGACTACAAATCCCAGCAATACATTATACAGCAATTCAGAATACCATCAGCTAGAGAGGACTCAGCTGCAGTGCAAGGAGCCTTAATGATAGGAAGAGAGAGCAGACTGACAGAATTATGACCTTACCAGTGTGCTTCTTTTTTTCTTTCACTGTCCAGTCACATGGTTGGGGTGGGGGGAACCTGTAAGTAAAAGTGAAACTACAGCAGAAAAAGATCCGGTCCACTTTCCTGATAAATAGGGCTTCCTGGGGGCAGAGCTGTGTAAATCTCAGGACTATGTATACAGAAATACAAACCCTTTAGCAGGTAAAAGATTTCAAATATATATCAAATCTGTTTTAAATTGT